CCCCCTCCCGCCCTCCCTGCCGCTCTTTCTCTCTTTCTTAGCCGTGCCATTTTGCTTCAACTTTGTTTCGCCGGCACTTTCAGTCGGATGTCATGGGACGTCATTTCCGACGGGAACGATACGCGTTGCAAAGAATTTAACATGTTGACGGACAAGCATAATGCGCAAAGGTCGAGAGAAAAGCGGAGTCCACGTTCTGTCTTGTGTGTTCCTCGATATACGATATGCGCTACGTATAGACAAATATTCTCAGATGCGAAGAATTTTTTCGGACCGTCGGTGAAACTCCGGAATTTTGAAATTCTCAGCCCGCGCCAAGAATACAGCGAAGATTGCGCAGCCTCTCTTGATATATCTCTCTTACACGACGATCTTTCATCTCGAGTAATACCCTGCGTCCCTTTTTTCCGGGGCAAGCTGAACCGGCCGGCGGGAGACGATCGGAACGAGGTGTATTACTCTCATGATATTCCTCGAGTTTTCAAGCCGCGAGCGCACGGTTAACGGCCGTCGCTTTTGTCCGAGGATACCTTAGAAATATTAATGCAGGCAGAAAAGACGGAAGGGGGAAGGTGACAGAGAAGGTGAGATAGCGGTGCAGTCCCCTGTCCCTTTTCACGCGCGGAACTTTGTTGCAGGAACATTTTTCTCGTTAATCACGCAATTTTTCAGCCTGACAGGAAACACCCTCTTTCGAAGCTTCATCGATTAATCTCGAGCGGCGGCGGCAACGGCGACGGCGGCTACATCTGCTTGAATCACCGGCGTTACTTTAGAAACGTAAGACGTCCACGAGACGACAATACCACGTACCGAATCCTAAACCGCTTACTTCTATGATTAATTTCCCCGTTTACTCATCGGCGACGCGCAAACGTTTGCCGAGTTTCTCAAATAGCCGTCGTCGTATTATTTCATATCTTATTGAAGCCCGCAGGAATTGCAGGACGTCTCTGCGGAGAATGAGTCGATATTTTGCGATAGACGAGGATCGCTTATATCGACCGCCGTAAGTATTGGCTTTCGCTCCTGGGACGCTCCGAGCGCGCGAGAGAGAGAAATTATAATTTAGGTAGAGGCATTATGCAGGTAGTGTAGTTTGGTATTATAATTCTCCTACGAAAGCGGCTTAGTGCATGGGCGCAAGAGTTGTGCGGCAGTGGGCCACGTAAGCGAAAGAATCGTTTGACATAATTTTCCGCGGGTAAGACCTCGAAGGGGAAAGCCGCAATTACGCGAAATACCGGTGTCACATCGATCGCGGTTCGTATTTCAAATGGTTTACTGCGCGATTATGTTTCGCCTTCTCTTTGGTCAACAAGGCGTAGAGTCTTATCGAGGTCCACGCGGACCATCTACAGAAATGTACGAGACTTTCCAATCACTGATTGATGCCGATCGTGTAAATTTCGTTCTCCGCACGCGCACATGCGTTCTCTCTGCATTCTGAGCTACGCCATGCAAGATTCAAGCAGCTCGTGCTTCTTCCCCCGCGTAAATTACACGGCCGAGAATAATCTCGACCATATCGCAGTCAATTATAACAAATAGTATCTGAAATCAGTCATTAACTCGCGATATCGCTCTTCTCACGTTGAAAAAGTGTACTCGCGACAAAAGAAGAAGAAAAACGAAACAAAACAGTAGATGGAAATTCTATGATCGATAAACAATTTCGACCAACTCTTTGAGTTCGCAAGTTGGCCGAAAGAAAGGTCGGCAAGTTTCCTCATTCCGAGCTGAGTTTCCCCATTCCGAAACCGCGGACGGCAAAAAGCGGACTTATCGATCCTCCTTCGCGGATAAATCGAGCGCCGGCATGGCGATCGTCTGACAAATTACGTTGTCGCGGACAAAAAGCGCGAGTGCACGGTCCCCGCGCAAACGCACACGCTCGCGTCTCGGCCATGTATTATTCATTAGAAAATCACCGTCATCCCAATTTCGTGCGGCCGCTCGAAATTTCCGAAACCACTTCCCCGCTCGACTATGTGAAGTCGCCCGCGAGCATAGAACGCGATCCGACCAGCCGTTTATCGCCGCCAATTACTCTCGTCCACGAATCATCTATAAAACGTCAGGAACGCGACGAGGAGAAGGGTCGCGAAGAGTGGAGAGGAGAGGAGAGGAGAAAGAACGCCGAATGGGTAGGCGAGAGAGGTACCGGTGCGGCCCTCTTTGCCTCCTCCCCTCCCCTGCCCCTCTTCCACCCCGGGCCCTTTATCTCGCCGGCTTTTTTCCCGTGGGCCCCGGGCCCCTGTCCTCCGCGAGAGATTTATGCTACCGACATTGAAACTAAATTACGCTATAAATTAACCTTAAATTCGTGCTTTCGATGCATCCTCGACCTACCCGCCTTCCGCGCGTCCCCGGCGACGCGCTCAGCCGGACCTGGGTCCGTTCGCCGTCGACCTCGGCGACATTTCTGATTCCTCCTCCCTTCCTGCTCCGTCGCCCCCGCCCCGGATCCATCCTGTTCGCGCTTCGTTCCCGCGAGTGTAATTAAATGACGGACGGACGAACAATGAAACATTTGTTTGGACCGGCGGTGACAGCCTTCCCGGATTTCGGGCTTCTCGCTGATCCCAGCGCGATCGTGATTGGCATTTTCGGGCTTGTGTATTCTCGACGGGGGACTCGCGGTCGATTTAGGACACCGTCCTGCGTTCCCCTCTCGCGTTGCCTCGCCGCGCGCGTCGCGCATTTATCTTTATTAGGGATAAAGGCTCCTTCGTATTGGGAAACTTGGTAAATTTCATTCGCTATCAATTTAAGCTTCTCGCGTTGTACTCATCCCGTAAAGCTAGGATTATAATCTAAAGGGGGACTGAGAGATGGGAGATAATTCTTATTCTCGGCGATGATCGTGGACAGATAGTAAGCGACGGTCAATCCTTGGCGATGGAGTATACTGCGCGTCCAGCTCTGAGTTCGCAATCGAGTTACATGAAACTCGACGTGGCATGTGTAACCAATTCGTCACGTAATTCCGGGAAAGTGATTTGTATCAAAGGGCCCACTTTGATATCAAACTTGCGTCAAATGACACAATCAGGTGATCTGGCGTCGTAAATCAGGTCGGCGGTAGCTAATAATCGCAGAATTTACGGGACCACAAACACCGCGCGAAACGCGAAACTGCAAACGCAATCAGTTTCGCACACGGGAAATTTGTCATTCTCGTGTGTGTACCAGTTTGACCGCTTCAATTAAGGATAATCGGAACAAACGAGCACCATGAGTTTATACTGACCGCGTGGCGCGCTTTGTGTCGCGTATAAAAGAGGTATCCCCCATATTAATTACCGATACCGACCATTCGCCGCAGATCGCATGTATTTATCATGTCTCGGTCTCTCTGTTGCGATCTGTCGCGATTTTTTTCGCGACCATTCGCGTCATCGTTCAATCACGCAGATTCGAAAGCGCAACAGTAGCGACTGAACGGAGAGAAACACACCTGTCTCGTCGATCGTATCACAACGTGAGATAATCGATGATGGAAATTTTCTCTCTCTCTCTCTCTCTCTCTCTCTCTGCAATGTTTTCCATTACATTTATCAGGCAAATGCATTGTATTGAATTAATCATGAAATTTACATTTCATGGAGTGAAATTAAATTTGTAGGAGTGGAATCTCACTCAAAACGAGTGAAAAATTGCAGTATTTTTGCTTTTAAAATCACAAGAGTGAATGTTTCATTCAAGTTTAGAATGAATTCCTACTTCATATGAGCAAATGTTTCAATCGATTAGAATTAAATTAACACATATTGTGTTAATTTAACATATTGTCGTTTGACTATTTTACGTTCAATTTATATTCACCATTTGCCAATGTAGCATCAGTCACAAATAATTTTTTGTCAAATTTCGACGAATATGTCAATTTTCGACATATTATTTGCTACTTATTTATATATTTATGTTAAAATTAATATAAAAATTAGAGTGAATAAATTAGGGCATGCATATTTATGTTAAAATTAATATAAAAATTAGAGTGAATAAATTGGGGCATGCGAAATGTGTTAATACAAAATTTTGTACAATGTAGCACTAGTCTGCGAATTGATCGTCTTCTTCGCTTAAACTCGTGAAAAATGAAAAGTTCCATTCAAGTTCAATAAAATGTTTCATTCTTCGAGTTTACGCGAAAGAAATAGACACATGATCAATTTACCGACTGTGTTACGACTTAAAACTACGAGCACACTGTAGACAACCTAAAGTTTCACTCAGATTTTTGTGTTACACGAAATGTATTGTTTCAAATAACTTTGGATAATTTTTTTCGTATTTCTACTTCGTCATTCTGTGTGACAACGTGAGCGCCATACGAACTACTCATATGCACGCGATCTTTGCAAATCAACATTGGAAATAAAGTTGCATTTACATACCAAATTTACGTATGGCTACCTATCTGATTAATTAATAATCGCAGTCTTGCGGCGCAAATACTATCAGAATGCATCCATAGACCGTAGAGTGCAAAAGGAAACCGCGAAGCGAGCTTTGCGCGCTCGCATGCAAAAGCTTCTCGATTTGTTACGATTTTAATGACTGATTTTAATAGCACCTTTAACGAGCTGCCTTGATGCGCTCGTCAGCGTCGCACGAAATTTATGATCTCTGGCAGTACCGTAAGATCGTTATCGGTATAACTTCATCGTCGTCACGGCTGATCCTGGACGCGTTGCGCGCTGGTCTATGCCGGGTCTCTTTGACGAATACATCCCGTTAGAATCGCGGGGGCCAAAGTCCCGGCGTAATTTACGTCTCTGCTGCGTGCAATGCGATCCCACCCACGTACAGTACATACGCACAGCCTTACCCGGCGAGCATAGGACGCGATCGCACTGACAGTTCGACGATAATCGCATTGTTACGCGCGATAACAGTAGCCTCTTCTCTTGTCAAGCTGCCGTTGTCTTCTTCTGCGATCGATGGAGTGGCGCGCGCCGGATGGACTAAAGGCAGATCGAGATACGCTTGTCTCGGATCGATAATAAGATGCTTTATTGATAAAACAGAAGAATCAACAGAACGCGTGACCGTCAGGTACAATTTATCGTACGTAAACTTAATGCGCGCGATTAGGCGACGCGCGTGCAAACGTAACGCCTAGTGCATAAAGAGTGATCGCGCGATGCGGCGAGCGCTCCCCCTTCCTCTCTTCTCCTTCACACACATCGCCGAGTACGTAGAATTTATTTATATAAATACGTATGCGTATAATATATGTACGTATATATACGTCGTGTATATGCCTATGTGTGTGTGTATATGTGTATATATATATATATATATATATATATATATATATATATATATATATACACTTTATGTATATGCGTGAGTATATTTATATAGCATATTGCGTGTGTGAGTGCGCGCAGCTCCATGAGCCACGACTACACCTAATTACGATCGTTACGAGCGAAAAGAAGGATCGTGATATAGTCGGTGATTTGTGTGTTAGTGCGTACGCGATATGTTTGGTAACTGGTAAGTTGTAAGACTAGTGTTAATGTAATGTAAGTTTCACATCGGCGCGTCTAGGCAGAATGTGATGGTTTGCCTTACACGCGAATCGAGCAGACCGTCTGCCTCCTACAAGTCCGCGGAAACGTGAAGACCGGTGCGGATGGAGAGCTGTCGCCATCCTCTCGATTTCACAGCGAAAGCTCGGTGTCCTTTTGCAACTCGCGACACCGTTCGACACGAGATTCGTTCGAGGAGCGAATCGGAAATCGGACCGCGGGAGAGACAACGACGATGGCTACGTGAGAATGATGAAATCCGAGAGAGATTCCGTAGTGTCGTCGATCGGCGTTACGATAAACGAATAAGTCCTGTGGGACGACGACGGTGTATGCAATAAATAAGTAGACCGTAGTGTGGATAAACCGGAGATTCTATTGAGAACGGAAAGCCTCGAGTTTGGCATCGAGCGCCGAATTGGAATGAACTTAGGCGTGACATACATTCGTGGGCGCGGGACGCCCCTTTGTGCGTCAAGTAAGTTGAAAAGTGCGCGAAGTCGCATCTTCTCTCTGTGTAAGATAAAGAGAAAAACGAAAGGTTCGTTTACGGTGCGTTTGAGACTTTCTATCTCTTCTCGACCTATATCTATAGCGCAATAAATACAACACTAAATAAAAGCCTATTCTTAACATTCAACTTGTGATAACATCTACAACCATCGTATGCGTATAGAATATCTCAAAAGTCGCCACAAGCTGTACTTTGCGAGCCTACCTAAATCAAACGTTCGCTTCGTTGTAACGGAGTGTCAATTGGAAATTTTAGCGCGTTGAACTTCGAAGATGCGAATATGTTATATCCCGAGTAGAAATTTTGCTTCTACACTAATCCCGCAAATATCGTCGAATTTGAAGAATCATAACGGAGAATATCGAAATGTAACGTCATACAGGCTACTTTTCTACCTTGATGCTGCAAATATTGCTGTTTTCTCCAATGAGAGGAGCAATTCAAGAATTATTTAATATTTGATTATCTCTTATTCTACGTGTATTTAATATTTACTCGCAATTAATAGTTTATTAATTCTATAACTTCTTCAACTGCAAATATAATATATGCGATAAACAAATATTAAACAACTAATATAGCGGTATACGGAAAAACGTAAGAATAACGTAAATAGTAAGAGTTTTACTAAAATAAGAGATTCCTAAATAGTAGGAATATTAACTCAACGACAATCGATTATTCTTGGATTATTCTGGAGAATAATAAAATAAGGGAAATCGATTAATTTGTTTTTTGTTTACGTTTTTTGTCTGCTGCCGGCTTGATTACCAATAAGTACTTAAATGTAATAAAATAATATAGCTCGGTATAATAATAAAGCTAAGTGAAAATAAAAAGTAAAATATTGGCAGATTGAAAATAAAACTCGCTAAGCTAGTAGATAATAAAGTTCGGAAAACAAATCGTAGCACTATCAAGATTCAGATAGATATTTACGATCTTTGATTGAGAGAATAATTAATTATAAATACTCATGGATTCATATTGAGCTGTTTGTATCGATATTTCTTGTTGTATGAAGTATCTGTTACTAATTAACGAATAATAACAAGTTCTTAGAGTTACGATAATTTATCAATCAATGACGATTTAGAAGCGTTCGGCGTAGAATAGATTTTAACTCGAGATATCTCTTTGTTATCTCAGTGAGTTAAAGTCGAGAACGTATTGTGTAATAAATAATCTCACACACCTGGAAATATATCGCTGCCCGTATCCTGCGTCCTCCGTCCTGGCTTCCCGACCCAGCATCCAGCTCCTGTCTCCTTCGTGCTTCCGAACACTCACTCACCGATAATGACACTCGCGCAGATACGACTCGATCGAAGAAATACGTGTTAAGAAAATCCGATTAAGTATTCTCTATAATATCGACGAAATATTTTAATCTCACCCGACAACAATCGTAACTAACGCGATGCCGACGAGAAAATCCGATCAAGTATCCTCTATAATATTGACGAAATATTTTAATCTCACCCGACGACGTAAACAAAAAAAGCGACGCACGTGCTCCGCGGTATCCGCGTCGTTCGTCGGCTTGAGACGTAATGACTAGGTGACGGGCAAATATGCGACACGCGCGAGAGTACCAAAACAATTGATACCTGCCCAACCGTCAAAGTTACTCGCGTCGATCGCGCAACGTCACGAACAATAACAAACATACTCGGTGGCTGAGAAATCACGACGCTCTCACAGCATTACGGTCAAGAATGATTCAATTACTCCAGTTGGTAAATTATCAAATTATCAAGCTTGTATGCGAGGTACATATCGAAACGTATTGTAACATAAATTGTCATCGTTTTTTAACGTACGATTATTAGTTAACGTTCTGTTTCCAAACGAATTATACTTTTCCGAGTGGGGCCTTTGAACATCTGATCACGATAACGATTGAGGGCTTACTCCAGGACGGAATATAGGACGCAGGATGTAGTAGAAGTCAGCGACGAAGCTTGCAACTTCTGTTTCACTTCCTTTGAATCTCTAAACCCTACCAAAATTTTTAATGCCAAAAATAATTAAAAATCAAATGATAAAAGAATCTGAAAGAAGAAACTTTGTTGTTTGCTTGTCCACTCACCCATTAATTTCTCTTACCTTATTTATACAACATTTGTTTATCGCAATACTCTTTTTGCAGTTGAGTGAGTTACGTAACAAATACATTATACATTAAAATTAAGAGAAAGATTAAATGCAAATTATTAATAGAAATAATCAATGTTAAATAATTCTTAAATAAATCCTCACTGTAGCTTTAAAACAAAGATCCAACATGGAACATAAACTTATGAAATATAACCTGTATAGTGTCACATATATTCTGAGTTTTCCACTAGTTTTTTAAATTCGATAGAACCTGCAGGATAATGGTGAACTCAAAGTTCGACTAGAGTGCTCGCTGTTAATTTCACGCGAGAAATTTATTTTAACAAAATATCAATGTTAATCAAGACGCAGTCGTTGAACTGTTTCAGGTCGAAGGTTACAAAGTTGCAAAGAATGGCACCCGATACAACCCGAGTTTTTAGCAAAGCGCAAGTCAGCTTCGAATTCGCCGAAGGAACTCGCAACTTTTGAGACATCCTGTACCTGCTCTCAACTATGTCATACAATAAATAATATTGTTTAATGCTTATAGCACTTAAGCTTCGCGTCTGCGCCACAATCAAACGATCGCCCGGACCAGTACGAGCCGATCCAAGACGCGATTTTACTGCCACAGCGGTGATAACTGCCTGCGGATAGCTGCAGGCCAATAAATCCGCGACGAATAAATCGTGATGTGAGAGAGTTCATTCAATATTTAGATCGCGAAAGAAAGCGCCGAACAACTCAAGTGGCGTGAAACACGAGTGAAACGCGAATATTGACTCGCGTACTCTCGCGATATCCTGTAACTGATAACTGTGGATACAAATAGGTCGTACGACAGTCGTACGCGTGTGATCGAAATCGTCGAGCGATCGTTTAGTCCGCGCAGACACGCGATGTAACACATATATATAGTTATGCCATATATATCCACGTATATACGCACGTAACGTTATGTCTACTGGCACATATGAAATTGGCGCGCTTTTCTCATCGTGGATGAAAGCATGGCAGGACACGGAGAACCGCCTGGTTGAGCCTCTGTTATGGTGGCAGCGAGAGTATTCTTTTTCTTCTCTTTTCTTTCATATATTTTTCTTTTTTTATAAGATTTCTTCACAGATTATCTTTTCCTGTCTTTCTTTTTCATTTTCTCCCCTTTCTCCATCGTGAATGACGATCACTGATCTCGAGTGAACGCAACGATGACGATAAATGTGGACGCGACGAACATCGAAAGATATTACAAAACTGATCTTTCCACGTGTGCCCACTGATAAACTACGGCATGGTCAGAAATCCACGCGCGCGCTTCGTGTAACACGATTTTACGAGCAATCTGGAGATACAATTTTTTATTCGCGATAAAAGTCAACCTCAGATCGCTGGGTCGATCTCATTGTGTATGAATTCGCATGCGCAAGGATTCATGACCAGCCTGTATCGCGGTGGTAAGCGCATTACGCTAAGGTGAAAAAAAGTACCGGTAATTGCGTTACTAATTGTCTCGGATCTCTCTCGCTTCGATTGCCGCACGATGCTGATCAAATTGTCGTGAGACCATATGCCCATTTACAGGGCGCGTATAAATACGTATAAATAAATTAAATTAAACGAGATAACCTACATTATAAGCGAAATAAATAATAAATTATCTGCGGATTAAATTATTCATGATGATAAAATATGCGCACAGACGTAACAATCATAATAATGATACGTAATGAGCGTGAGCAAGCGTATCGAGTCATTTCGATGCACCAAATAAATTATTGATACGACAATCTCTCCGTTCATCTCGCGGCGTTGTGTAATTTAGTCGTCAATTTACGAACGCCGCGAATTGCCGTCCGAAAGCGCGATATGTGCAAGAGAAAAAAAAAAGAAAAATAATAAAGAGAGGCACTCAGAGAGTATCACGGAACGATAAATAAAAATCAATACGAGACAACGTAAATTCGGCGCCTCATTTACCGGCGTGTTAAAGTTTACGCTCATCTCCCAGGTAGCTCTCACGTTGGAAAAAGTTGTGCAAGACCAGGCCACAGGGCCTTTTTCCATGCCCATTTCGCCGACGTCCAGTCTGACTTTCGGCTATTGATTTTCACCCAACGACTTGCAGCGTGGATAGCAACAAATAAGTCGATTTCATCCCTAAAAATTTTTCACCCCTACTGAGGATGCCGGCTGCCGCGTCCCGCCCTCGCCGCCGCCGCGACGGGGAGTCCGCGCGGGTGTCCTCCTACCACGATCCGCCTGACAAGCTTGGTTCTTCTAGGAGAACTGCTGTCGCAAAACGGCGGATCATTAATTGATCTCAACGCTCGTGACCGAATTGGCGCGACGCTCGTCCTCCGTCACCGCGGGGTTCGAGGGCGACACGGTGAAACCTTCCAAGCCGCTCTCCACGAGGCTCATGAGGTTGTCGTGTTGTTGTAAGGGTACGCGCTTCTCGGCCCGAGCTTTCTCCTCGAGCTTCCTCTTCTCGGCGGCCGGATCGGTGGCGCCGTTTTTCGTGTTTTGCCAGATCAGCTGCTCCAACTTGGACATCTGTCGCTTGGTAATGCTCTCCACGACTTCGTTGTTCTCCACCGGCAAAGAGTGTTTGACCAATGTGGGCTTATAGGTCTTCACCTTCGAGTGACCCTGAATTATGTGATACATCGGCCCACTGATGGGTTTGTCCGGCTGTTTGTAATGCGAGAAGATCGGATCAGTGGTCAGACTGGGCACCGTTGTGGTTCGCGGAGACGTAGTCGATGATGGCGCGAGTGTTGGTTTTGTCTTTGAAGTCTCCTCAGTGTTGAGGATCTTCATCAATGGCGTCTGATTTTGGAGTTTTATATTCTCTTTGTGATCAATGTTCACGGTAGACGCATATTCCATGGTCGACGGAACCGTCGGAATAAAAGGGGCTGCCGAGGTAGTCATCGAATTTGTGACTGTCGCGAGCAATCGAGATGGCCGATGGTCGATCGACTGCTCAGACTCGGTGGTCTGCATACTAATTGTCGTCGGCGACGGCGGGCTGGTGAACGTCACGGGATACGGCTGCGGCGGTCGTTGGTGAGACTGTTCCACGCTCGGTGGAGGCCCCATCATGGTCTTCATGGCGGGTGCGTGCATGTGCGCCATAGGAGGCGACATATGGGACATCGACGAGGACGGCCGAAAGCCTGGGCGCATGCTACCGATGAAGTGCATCATGGCATGGTTTGGTCTGGACTGAGGATGCATCATAGACTGGGAGGCCGCTTGCGGAGGCACGAATATGTGCAAAGGACCGCCGACGTGCCTGACAGGCATTACCGGAGCAGAAGGTGGATGCGGTGGCTGATGAGGAAGCTGAGAGGGTGGCATCATCTTAGTCAACACGGGGGTAACGGACGGACGATTTTCTACGATCGGTAAGCTCGTCACCGTATTTCTTGTCGTTTGGGACTGCGCCTTCGGTGTTTGATGAGTCGTTTTCGTCATCTCGGACGTGATGGGGTTAGTCAAGGAGTTGTGGAGAGTCGTCAACGAATCAGACGAACTCGAGGAGGAGTTCTTCTCGACATAGTTCGTCGGCATCACAACGGTTACGGGACCCTTTTTCGCCTGGTGCGTCTCCAAATTTGATATAGTAGAGGGCGAGTTGGCGAGAACGATGTGCATCTTTTGTGACGTTTGCGTCTCGGTCACAGTTTCCTCCGTCTGTCCTCGCTCCCCTTCTTGATCAGCGGAGTCCATAGTAATAGTGGAGGTAGCAGTGGAAGTCTGCACGACGCTCTCCGAAGTTGAGGACATTGCCTCGGTGCTGACTTCTTTTTGACCCACAACAACCTCCTCGTTTTCATTACTGTTACCGTCCACGATGATGTTCGCGTTCTGCCCGACGACGACCTCGTGATTGCTCGAGGCTGCGGTGTGGTAATCCACCTCGTAATGGTCTTTGGAATAATCTGGAGTCTGCCATGTGACCTGGTTCGAGTCCGGGAACCCAGTGGAGGACGACGAAGTGGGCCCATTATTGTTGAGCCACCCACCAGACAGAGTCTGCGTCGATTGATAGATCAGGTTCGACTTCTCGAAGGACACGGATGGCGCAGTGGTCGCTTCGTATTTCGACCTGGTGCTCTGCGATGCGGTTGGTGCGTAGATGCTCTTGATAGTCTCAACCTGAGATATCGAGACGCCCTTGTTCGCCGGCGTCTTTGAGGTGGAGTACGGTCTCGATGAGGACGCGGGAGAGTAATATCCGTAATCCTTGGAGGGTGCAACGTGATATTGAGCGTCCTGAAGAAGGGGCCCCTCTTCCGTTTGCGTATTGAACGGTTGGGACGTGTCCGCGTACCCGATCACTTTGTCCTTGGACACGCCGGCGTTGTAGCTGGTGGACGTCTCGGCTTTTTGGGTCATGGGCGGCGGCATCATCATGGTGTACGGCTTCATCTTCTGACCGTAATACGGGCTCGGGTAGTAACTCGCCGGCAGCGACTGCAGCCGGTTCTGATTCCTGTAGTCGATCAGACCATTCCTGAAGCTGGTGGTACGCACGATCTTAGGCGGCTCGGCGCCGTTGCTGCCGGTGAATTCGTTCCTGTACGACGCGTCTTGGCCGGCTCGCGTGAACTTCGGGCCGTCCACGAACTGGAGGAACTGTTCGGGTATTTTCGGGCTGGTCTTCTTCGCGGTGACGCCCAGCACGAGAATATCGCGCTTCGACGAGGGTTCGGTTGTGTGCGAATCCAACCAGTACTGCACCCGGTCGAGAACGGGAGGGACATAGTCGAAGGTCGGATTGTTCTTGAGCGGGTCGCCGCGGCCCAGCGGCGTCCACTCGTCGTAGTCCATCCGGGGTGAGAATACCCGCGGCCGGCTGAAGTTCTGGCCTGCGAACAGAAATTTCGAGGGGTCGTCGTGACCGATTAAAGCCGGCGGGGTTCAGCGCGAGTCAACGGCGGCGAGAAACTCCGACCTCGGGTCACGTAGGGGCGCGCAGGTGACGCGAGGAGGCAGGCGGAGGACTGGCGATAGAGAGTTGCCAATTATACTTGGATCGGTGGACGTGCATAAACGAGAACTTGATACCTTGAATAATGAGGCCCGTCGTCGTGATTAATTGTTTTTAATTTTATTATAGCGCTCGCTCGCCCGCTCGTTCGCGCTTACGCGTCCCGATTGATTTATCCTTTACCGGCATCACTAACGTCACGATTTTCTAGGCTGCATAAATTTATGGGATGTTGCGTATATGCGAAAGAAAGAGAGGGAGGGAGAGAGAGACGACCACTGCCGCCGACTCGATGAGAATCGACGAACACGCGGGCGCAGATAGTCGCCGTATAAATTCATACGTCTCTTGAATACGCGATATATCGCGTAACAGCAAGCTACGTCTACGTGCCCGCACTTTCGTTTAATGTCATCGTCAACCTAGACTATATATCGTATACACGGTGAACCATTCGATACCACCATCCTACGATATAGCCTCTCCTCGCACGGCGATATTCCAACGAGTTCGGTCGTAAAATTTGCGACCAATTCAATCTATATATGTTATCTGAAATTACCTATTTCCCGAGAACGTTCAATAACGTTAAACTGTCGAAGACATCAGATTAGTAAATTTCTCTTCTTGTACACTGTGACGTGCATCACCGCGTAAAGATATGGTGAGGCGTTTCACAGCCGCCGTCTCAGAGAATTCATCTGATAGACAGATCCATAATCATCATATTGTTATCATGATCGGGCCGAAGAAGGCACTAATTTCCAGAAACAATTTTCATCGTCCTTCAAAGTAACGCCTTCGAGCAAACGTCATTCACCAGCGAAACTGTCCCGGGAAGCCGTCGAAAAACGGACAACGCCACGCTCGTTCCCATCGTTCGCGAACACGGCATGAAGCAACGCGCAGCCACCCAAGATGATAACGTTAAGTAGACCACCCCATACATCCGCTTCCCTGTGCGTTACGACAAGACGGAGGAGGATCCTGTTACGAAGTTGCAATTCACGTCGTGTCGTATCTCGTCGGGGTTACAGCGACGTTGGCTGGCACAAGCCCATCCCCGCGAAACGAGCACGCGCGCGCGCCGACGAGGACCTGTCCTCGCAGGAGCAAAGGAAGCGAGTCTCTTCTTAACGAAGTCCGAAGAGGAGGTAGACGAACCCGCCTCATCTCTCTTTTTCCGAAGGGAGAACGTAAGGCGCCTAGGTCGTCGCGCGAGCGTCAACGTATCAAGATCCCGTTTTAAGTGAGACACATCGGCCCGTTACGGTACCCAGAAAGACTTTCGTGATTATCACGAGATGAGACAATCGATAACGAAAACTCTACAATTTTTTTAATCACATTGATGAAATAAATATATTATACTGAATTAATCATTCAATTTGGAGTGAATTCCCGAGTCGAAATTTTGGTTCTATATTAAATCTTGAATTCTATAACGTAATAGGAGTTAAGTTAGCAAAGTAGGTTTAATTTTAATGATCCAAATTAATTCGAATTTAATTCTAATTTATTTCTACATTGATTCTGATGATATTCAAAATTTCCTTTTCATTTTCTTTAACGTCAAAATAGATTGTATTACAGACTTCACAATATTAAAATAAATATTGAATAGAATAGTTAGGTTAAAAGTAAGATCAAAATTTTGACTCACAAATTTTCATTTTATTCGTATTTCTACTTAGTCACTCTATGTGATAAATATGAGTGTTATATGAACCATTCATAAGGGACGTAATCTTTGCAAGTCGACTTGAAAAGTTGCTACCAAGTTTGCATACATCTGTCCGTCTGTTCAGATAGTCTTTTGTGTATTGTAAGAGACAGATAGTCTCTTACAATTCTTTTAATCACATCGATATAAAGAACAAATATATTGTATTGAATTAATCATTAAATTTCAAATAAATTTTGATCAGTTTTTTCGTATTTCTTCGTCACTTTATGTAATAAATACGAATGCCATATGAACCATTTATAAGAGATGTAACTTTTACAAATCGACTGATACATACATATATAAAGTCGCTGTCAAATTTAGGTACACTTGTCTATCTGGGTATATAAAATTTGATACAAACGTAAAAGGATTTCACAGCGAGTTTCTCGGTTTTCCCGTCAAGTGATTTTCTAAAATTTTTCTGCGTCTTTTGAACCGGATACACGATCAACCGTGTGATTGTCAAGAACGAACGAAGGCGGTAAGAGGTCCATCCGAACGACGGATTCGCGTAGCCCCGTGAAACATATGCCGAGAGAAATCGACCGACACGTCACGCGTCCAACGTGCTGAAAACGTGGTCTAATATAATAAAGAACGCGAAATGACGTCGTTCACATTAGCCACGTGATTTGTCGGTTTCTCGCTGCATATGCTTCACGGAGCTGTGCAAAAGTAGTAGGTCCGAACGAACCTGAGCGTTCGCGCAAGTGGGTTGAGCTGTAAAACAATAATGACAAGGTTTTCGTTTAATTCTCAGTCTCGTGAGCGAGCGCGTAACGTTACCGTAATTGGCCACGGCGCCATTGGTTCGCACTCGCGGATATTACGTACGACGACAGCGCGGCGTAAAACTCCAAGCTATACATGTGGACGCGAACACCCAAGAAGACACCACACTTACGTGCGCTCGCATGCACGCCCAATATCTCACGAGAAAACATCCCGATAATAGTCAGTCGAGAGTACACGTTTTCTCGCCGGCATTATCGAGGCAATCGACGTTTCTATCTCTCGCCGACCGCGCCGTGAACGCGGTGGTAGACGTCGAACATTAAAGCGCCCGGCCGCAGGTGCAGCGCCAGCTATGCATCGCGGCGATACATAATGCGCGCCGTATACGTGCGCCTGGCTGACGGAAGTGCCACTGACATCTCGAGAGCCAGAAAGCTCCGACGGAGAGAAATCTCGCCGTCGTAATCGAGACGGATGTTCCATCGTGGCAACTTTTGAAACCGCTACAAAAATCTTTGTGTGTACGCGGCTCTGAAGGAATAACGGTAACGTTAACGTGCATGTACATATGGTATATTTGAAGTGTACATTTAAAACTGCATTTAAGGGCATTCTGGTTTTTTTCTTCAAAGAAACGAAATCATACTATTTAACATTGGATAACTAAGGATATCATACTATTTAACATTGTTTTAAGCATAGCAGGCATATTGTTTCGAGCACATTGTTTTGAGCATACTGTTTATCACTGTTTTAAGTACAAAAAGAATGTGTTTTCGTTGAAATTCTATCGTTCAATTTTTTTGTGTTGAGCGCGATGTCCCTCCTAACTATCCCTTCTAACTAGACTATATTACACCTCGTGTAATCATTTGAAACAAGTAGGACGAGAAAATTTTAAAAGCGTAACAAATTTATTAGAGGTTGAAACCTCTATAAATCTTTTAGAAAATTTCCAAAATTAATATTCTTCTCAGAACATTAAATAAAAAAAAGAGAGAGAAAAAATAATTCATAACTTGGGCTCGTAAGTGTCGCCGTTTTGTTAAATTTCGACTTTTTGAATGTAATAAAGGTTCATCCTTCAGCAAATTTGATACAATTTGTAAATTTTCTTTTCTTCATTTGTTTCAGATTATTACACGAGCTGTAATGTTGCCCATCTCAGTTAGAGGCGTCTGGTGATACCGCGCTCAACACAAAAAATTTAGACGGCAAAATTTCAATTTTTTACAAGAAAGTGATATTTTATACTTAAAACAATGGTAAATAATATGATAAATAAAATTCTATATATTGATATATTTATTCATTTCCTTGAGATAAATTCGTGAAAATATATCTTATTTTTCGCTAACTAAACCAGCACCTCCTTTTAAATCTGTGAAGTCGTCAATTAACCCTCAACAGATTTAATTTAAAGAATAAGAATACAAGTTAATGATCGCGAAACGTCGTGTATTTTTTAATGCAGGTGTCACGACTAAGGTTCTACGGAAACGTCTCGATCCTCGCTTCGGTCACGGAACGACAACTACAACGGAGGAAGCGCAAAACACAAGGGTAACGATCAACAACGTCGCCTTATCAAAATGGGACGTGTGCTGCGTATGCGCTTCGTCGGGGAGTACCGCTGCTGCGTTATTTTTCCGCGAGTCCCGGTGCCTCATTACGACGTACGAACGAGTATTACGTCGCCAGGACGAAAATGCGCGACGACGAGATGCTGTATCTGAATGTCCCGCGGTAGCAACGGCAGCCTGCAGGCGCCAGCGCTCGAGTCATGTCGCATAAATACACGTGTCATGCCTCGGCGAATATACGCGCGCGACACGGTGTGGTCAGATCTCTTCCGGCTCGTGCATGCCCTCCTCCTCTCTCGTATTACCGGTCTGCATAATGCACGGTCGGATCTGCGACCTCCGCAGTTTTGCACGAGCATATTTCAGACTGGGGACAGGTGACGCTTAAGTAATTTCTCGGGGCATATTATATACGCGCAAGGATTTTCGGTCGAATCTCCGCCGGCAAGCGGAGCGTAAACTAGAAACGGCGAATTCTGATTCTTCCTTTGTGAAGCCTTCGAGGGCACTCTGTGGTGCAAATTTGCTGTAAAATTGATTTTTCCAAAAAGCGATTTTTCTGGAATACAATCAAATGCAACTGAATTTTTCATTCTTTTGTTATTTTCTTATCGGCCTTTATATCGTCGTCAAATTTTTTACTTCTCTTTCTATCTTTTCTATTTTTATATTAAAAAAATTAAAACTTGAGATTGAGGAATTCGCGCAGAGCCGAGTTATAAATTGGCAAAAATTTGGCGCAAATTTGCACCTTGCTCTTAGTGTTCTTCGTCAAGTGTTCGCGCTCGAAGGACTGATTATGCCTTGTCGCTTATGTATGTCGCAAAATTA